TGCTCACATTACCAGTAAGCGCTGGGAGTTCTGTCACCCCGTCACTACGTTTCCGTTTCAGTTAATAGCTCCACTTCCTCGAGTTAAACGAGTAGAAAGAGGAGGAGGGGGGGGGGGGCTCGAGATGATGTTTCACAGCTCTGTGTGTTCTGGAGGAGAGGAAAGGCCGGGAGGGGCTTTTGACCGCAGAGGGCTCATTACTGCTGTGGATGTATAGAGCGCTGTCAGCCTGGTTTAGTCTCACGGTGCAGACGAGGTGTCAGAGCGGAGCAGGGCGTCCGTGTCAGCACAGCTGATCCCCAGCTGGAAGAGAGAAATATCTGATTGTTGTTCAGCTCTTGATTTCAAGGTAAGGAATAAAGAGATAGTATGGCTGATGTTATTTTGAGTGAGATGTAATAAAACTGCAGTCATTGCAAGACAAAAGAAACTAAAAGTGTCAGTTTGGTATATTTCTCCTAGTTAGAAGCTCCTGGATCAGGATTTGCAGTTTGCACAACCTCCTGTAAGACGTGCATATCATTTTGTGTCGCTTTTATTGCATTTCATTGCACAAAAACAGTCTTGAGTGTCATCTTAATGATAATAATTCATTAGCGTTTCCTCCACTGCGGCCGTAATTGAACACAAAGGGATTAATGACTAGAAGACCTCATTACTGCAAATGGTGCCATCAAAGCGCCTGCAGTTCTCCCGCTCCGTCTCTAGAGGGCACATGATCCCAGGCAGGCTGATAAGGAGGCAGGGAGGTATGCGCCCTCAGTGGGGGAATTAACACTTGTCTGACACGAATTACAAAAGGATTTCACTGTGGCGTTCCTAGAAGGAAGACGTCTGTCATCTGGCGTCATTCAGCCTGATGCAACGTACGAGACGAGAGAAGCGACAGCGGATGATTAGATATATTTAGAAATTGCGGCCTAGCTATCAGACGTTGGCTGATGATGATTGCCGGCTTAAAAAATGCCAAGTTCGGCTCAACGGGAGGCCCAGAAGTTTTCTTTTGTTTCCCGCCGACACGTTGGCCTGCCTCCCAGCCGACAATCAGAAATCTCGCATGTGCCAGCTGCTAGAGAGCGTGTCCTCCAGACCTTGAATTTTAACCAGGAGGAGGCTGAAAAATGATTTTCAAAACACTGTTTATCTGTTTGTCATGCTGTAATCATGCAAATATTATTTGCAGACATTTTTCAGGCTGGACTAGCAGCAAACTTTATCTCCAGAGTTGTTGTTTTTTTCCCAGTCGAGCAAGGAAAGAGATAACGGAGTCTTTAATTAGGATTTCCAGGCGTGTGCTTGTTGCTTTTCTGCCCTTGCTGTTTTTAGTTTGGAGACATATTTAAGTTGTGTACACGACAAAGTCGCCCACAGCGGTTTCAGACTGACTCTCGTCTGCATTGTTTGTGCTTTGTGGGTTAGAAAGATGCGCTTCAAGAGGCGGTACGAGCTTAAAACACCATCAAACACAAATAGACGCACGCTGACTCTCTCTCTCCACAATCTCTCTTTCCAGATGTTTGTACTGCAGCTGGCGGTGGCGAATCTCCGTACGTAGGACTGGAGGATGGTCGCTCCCACTGCGCACACAGGCCCGTTCAGCACAGCAAGGTAGGAGGGGCCCGAGTGCGACAAAAAAGACGTGTAAACATCCACGCTCTGTCTTTCCTCAGGTCTGTGTGAGTGAAATCGTGTGTGCTGTGTTTGTGCGCACTCTCAGCAGAAGCTGCGGGGCTGTCAGAAACCAGACTGGCACCAATCCTCAGCATTTCCATAATTAGGATACTCAATCGTAGCCACCGGTATAAACACAGCTTATTACTGTCACGCAGACGGCTGCAGACTGAGAGGGGAGGCTGTGTCACACTCCCACTGCCTGCTGCACAAACACACTCGCATGTGTCTACATGCACATGAGGACAAGCACGCCTGGGGGCAACGCCAACTCCTCTGAAGAGAACGCTTGTCCTGTCATTCACATGCACCATTTTATTAAGAGCTACTCTGTTTGTTACATGCAGACTTTTCCTTCTCATGCATTTGTTAGCCGTGAGAGTCCAGCTTTTGTTCTAAGCACGCTACAGTTAATGCAACTTCCTTTCAGGCCACTTTAGAGGAATATCTCATATCTGTAAATGTGCCAAACACTTCTGAGTTATGGCAGATTGTGCGCCTATTTCTGTCCTATTGGTCGCTCAATATCTACTCAGGTTTTTGATATGTAAACCAACTTTATTGAAGTCATTAAACCGCGAGGCTGCTCCGCCGGGAATTACGCTTCAGTGATGTGATAATGTAATACGGGAAGATTTGTGCGCCGGTGTTTATTGAGGGCAGTAATGAGTGTGTGTGGTCACAGCAGAAAGCCGCGTGTTAATGATGCAGCCGTGGCTGGAAGCCTAAACGTATTCGTGCACGTTCACCTCCTCTT